GGGGACAGACACAGGGACAGCGTGGGGGGGGGACAGTGAGGGGACAGAGGGGACAGGGGGGACAGAGTGGGGACAGACACAGGGACAGTGTGGGGACAATGGGGACAGACACAGGGACAGCGTGGGGACAGAGTGGGGACAGAGAGGGGATAGAGCGGGGACAGGGGGGACAGAGGGGGACAGCCTCAGGGACAGAGTGGGGACAGGGGGGACAGTGAGGGGACAGAGAGGGGACAGAGGGGAGAGTGAGGGGAGAGTGAGGGGACAGAGGGGAGAGTGAGGGGACAGAGGGGGACAGCGTGGGGACAGAGGGGGGACAGGGGTGACAGTGAGGGGACAGTGAGAGGACAGGGTGGGGACAGTGTGGGGACAGAGGGGAGAGTGAGGGGACAGGGTGGGACAGGGGGGGACAGCCACAGGGACAGCATGGGGACAGGGGTGACAGTGAGGGGACAGCGTGGGGACAGGGTGGGGACAGGGGGGAGAGTGAGGGGACAGAGAGGGGACAGCCCTGGGGACAACCTGGGGACAGTGTGGGGACAGAGAGGGGACAGGCCCAGAAACAGTGTGGGGACAGAGGGGAAAAGGAGACGCAGAGTGGGGACAGTGAGGGGACGGCAGGGGGACAGCCCCAGGGACAACGTGGGGACAGGAGAGGACAGAGGGGGGACAGTGATGGGAGAGTGAGGGGACAGCTTGGGAACAGAGTGGGGACAGAGAGGGGACAGCCCCAGGGACAGGGAGGGGACAGAGGGGACAGTGAGGGGACAGAGATGGGAGAGTGAGGGGACAGAGAGGGGACAGCGTGGGGACAGGGTGGGGACACAAGGGGGACAGAAAGGGAACAAACTGAGGGCAGGAGGGGGACAGCGTGGGGATAGAGGAGGGACAAGGTGGGGACAGTGTGGGGACAGCCCCAGGGACAGCTTGGGGACAGCTTGGGGACAGCTTGGGGACAGCCCTGGAGGTAGTCTGGGGACAGTGCGGGGATAGCCCTGAGGAGACACCTGGGGACAAGGTGGGGACAGCCCGGGGACAGCTCAGGGACAGTGTGAGGACAGCTGGGGAAGGACACGGTTCCTTCCTCCCCCAGTCCCTGTCCCCAGTCCCTGTCCCCCCGCTCCCTCCGTGTCCCCTCTGACGTGGCCGTGTCCCCGTTTGTCCCTGCAGCCGCTGGGTGACAAGGGCGCTCCGCTGGCGCAGGACAAGGGCTAGGAGCCCCCGGCGCCGCGCCCGCAGCCGACCCCTCCCGAGGAGCGGCCCCGAGGAGCCCGGGGCCACCAGGAGCCCCGCTGGGGCCACCAGGAACCCGCTGGGGCCACCAGGAACCTGCTGGGGCCACCAAGAGCCACGCTGGGGCAACGAGGAACCCGCTGGGGCCACCAGGAACCCGCTGGGGCCACCAAGAGCCACGCTGGGGCAACGAGGAACCCGCTAGGGCCACCAAGAACCTGCTGGGGCCACCAAGAACCCGCTGGGGCCATCAAGAGCCCTGCTGGGGCAATGAGGAACCTGCTGGGGCCACCAAGAGCCACGCTGGGGCAACGAGGAACCCGCTAGGGCCACCAAGAACCTGCTGGGGCCACCAGGAACCTGCTGGGGCCACCAAGAGCCACGCTGGGGCAACGAGGAACCCGCTAGGGCCACCAAGAACCTGCTGGGGCCACCAGGAACCCGCTGGGGCCACCAAGAGCCCTGCTGGGGCAATGAGGAACCCGCTGGGGCTACCAGGAACCTGCTGGGGCCACCAAGAACCCGCTGGGGTCACCAGGAGCCCGCTGGAGTCACCAGGAACCCGCTGGAGTCACCAGGAACCTGCTGGGGCCACCAGGAGCCTGCTGTGGTCGCCTATGCCCTGCTGGGGTCACCAGGAACCCACTGGGCCACCAGGAACTCACTGAGGTCACTTGTCACCTGCTGGGGTCACCTGTCACCTGTGCCCTGCTCCACCTGCCCCACAGAGCCCCAGCGGATCCTGCCGGGAGCTTGGGGAGCCCCGAGACCCCCAGATCCTTGGGGAGGGACATGGTGGCACCTGGAGGAGTCCAAGGACGTGACCCTGGATGTGGCACTGCCCAGGGAGGACGTGGTGGCACCTGGAGGTGTCCCAAGAGCCAGTGCTGGATGTGGCACTGCTGGAGAAGGGAC